GGTTATCTAAACTCTTTCCATTTCTATTTTTAATATATTATCACCTCTAACAAAAGCAGGTTACCTCTCCACGTAAAAGACTAATGCCTCTTGTGGTTGGCTGTGAACAGAAGGCCACATGCTCCAAGCACATCCCTGTGGTATTTAAGCAAAACACCCTGAACAAACCAGGGAAGCTATTACATTTCTGAACAATCATTTGGGTCTGGAAACATACTATCTATCAATCAAACCATGTATATATTTTTTTCTCTCAGTCTTTGTGACTTCTGTGTAGCCATTTGCCTTTGCTGACCTCATCTGCCAATGAGCAGGCTGAGTTTTCAAGTAATTTTGGTTCACTTTTCAGGACCAGGAGGCAAGGCTCAAAGTTAGACTAGTGTCTATACTTACGTCAAGCCTAAATATACATTTATGCATAAATATGACATCTTTTCCAGTGAGTCTCAATTTCTGTTCACAGTGTACTAAGTAAATATAGCCCAGAACTTTATACTAAAGTGTTTACATCCTCCAGTAAGTACCCTTCTATCTCTTGTCAAGGGGAAATTTAAACAGGAAAAAGTTTAAAGATAAAAAAAATTTCCTGGCAGTGGCCCATGGCCTCTGTCACATTGTCCATTTGGAACAGTTCTTCAGCTTTCTGGTTTGTCCACTGATTTCCATAATCCAGTCCTACCCTCCTTGGTCCCTATCCTCACATTGGTTTCACCTTCCGGCTAGTGATCTGTTGCTGAGGCAAATAACACGGCTGACTCGGTCAGTGTTGACTGCTATGCCCTGTCTATGTAGACTAAAACCACAGTGATTGTGCTCATTCCTGACTTGTCTCCCCTAAAGCCCACTTAAAGATTGGAGTCCCTTAGGGCAAAAGTGTGATGACAGCATTAGATTCCTCATCCATTTTCCTAATTATTTTTTATTTATTTTTTTAGAGACAAGTTCTCACTTTGTTGTCCAGGCTGATCTTGAACTCTTGACCTCAAACAATTCTCCTTCCTCGGCCTCCCAAAGTGCTAAGATTACTGGCATGAGCCACTGTGCCTGGCCTCATTTTGTTGATTTTTAGAGGATTTCATTCCAGAATTATTTTTCACTTATGCAATTTTTTTTTTTTTTTTTTTTTAGATGTGGAGTCTTGCTTTGTCACCCAGGCTGGAGTGCAATGGCGGAATCTCTGCTCACTGCAACCTCCACCTCCTGGGTTCAAGCAATTCTCCCACCTCAGCCTCCTCAGTAGATGGGATTACAGGCACCTCCCATCATGCCCGGCTAATTTTTGTATTTTTGTAGAAACAGGGTTTCATCATGTTGGCCAGACTGGTCTTAAACTGCTGACCTCAGGTGGTCCGTCCACCTCAGCCTGCCAAAATGCTGAGATTACAAGCATGAGCCGTGCCTGGCCCACTTATACGATTTTTTATGCAGCATTTTCAAGCTAAATCATTTCATTTTAAATAAGAATTTAATTTTTTTACTAATATAGTTTCTTGATCCATTATCTATTGCTATAACAGAATACCTGACACTGGGTAATTTATAAAGAAAATAAGTTTATTTAATTCATAGTTCTGGAAGCTGGGAAGCTGTAGATCCAACAGCCAAATCTGGTGCAGGCCTCATGCTGCATGGTGACGTGGTGGGAGTGTATGCAAGAGTAGTGAGCTGGCGCCTGCCGAAAACAGACCAACACAAGAGGCAGCCTCACTATCCCACCCATCTCTCAAAGTAACCTAATCCAGTCCTACATGAGCAAGAACTCATGCCCACAAGATGGTATTAATCCCTTCATAAAGGTGAATCCCTCATGACCCAAAGTCCCTTAAAAATACCACCACTTCTCAACGCTCTTACACTGGAGACCAAGCCTCAAAATGAGCTTTGGTGGGGGCAACCATATTCAAACCATATTCTATAGCATATTTAAGTTAGCGTCACTTATTTTGGGAATAAAAATAATTCTACGTAATTTGCTGAACAAAAATCATAGCATATTTCGTGGGTTTACCTTAGGTGCTTTTAATTGCTAAGAATGGAGAACTCTCGTTGTCTCTGATTAGGGAAGTCTATTATAAATCCTCTTGTAGTAATAAGGAAACAGGGATCTCGGGCACGTGGCTAAGACACATGGGGACCTAGAAAAATCAAGTGCCCAAACTTCACAGGCAGAACAGGGACTCCATTAGCCAGACCCTTTGGAGAATAGGCATACAGGTCATTCAGGATACAGGTGGCTCCTGAATTCATGTAATTAGCTCCCTCCATGGTTGGCTACATAATGTTTAAGACCAGTACAAAATGAAAATGTGAGGCTTTTTGCTTCAAAAGCAGGAAAAAATTGCCATTAAAGATACTTGGTGGCCAGTCGTGGTGGCTCACACCTGTAATCCCAGCACTTTGGGATGCTGAGGCAGGTGGATCACCTGAGGTCAGGAGTTCAAGACCAGCCTGACCAACATGGAGAAACCCCATCTCTACTAAAAATACAAAATTAGCTGGGTGTGGTGGCGCATGCCCATAATCTCAGCTACTCAGGAGGCTGAGGCAGGAGAATCACTTCAACCCAGGGAGGTGGAGGTTGTGGTGAGCTAGGCATGGTGGCTGAGGCCTGTAATCCTAGCACACTGGGAGGCCAAAGCAAGAGGATCACTTGAGCTCAGGAGTTTGAGACCAGTCTGCACAACATAGTGAGACCCTGTCTCTACTTAAAAAAAAAAAAAAAAAAACTTTTTAAAAAAGGTAGCAAACTACCCATCTGACAAAGGGCTGATATCCAGAATTTACAAAGAACTCAAACAGATTTACAGGAAAAAAACAAACAAGCCCATTCAAAAGTGGGCAAAGGATATGAACAGATACTTTACGAAAGAAGACATATATGAGGCCAACAATCATATGAAAAAATGCTCATCGTCACTGGTCATCAGAGAGATGCAAATCAAAACCACATTGAGATACCATCTCACGCCAGTTAGAATGGCGATCATTAAAAAATCTGGAGACAACAGATGCTGGAGAGGATGTGGAGAAAAAGGAACACTTCTACACTGTTGGTGGGAGTGTAAATTAGTTCAACCATTGTGGAAGACAGTGTGGCGATTCCTCAAGGCCTTAGAAATAGAAATTCCATTTGACCCAGCAATCCCATTACTGGGTATATATCCAAAAGACTATAAATCGTTCTACTATAAGGACACATGTACACGAATGTTCATTGCAGCACTGTTTACAATAGCAAGGACCTGGAATCAACCCAAATGCCCATTGATAATAGACTGGATTGGAAAAATGTGGCACATATACACCATGGAATATTATGCAGCAATCAGAAATGATGAGTTTGTGTCGTTTGTAAGGACATGGATGAATCTGGAGAACATCATCCTCAGCAAACTGACACAAGAACAGAAAATGAAACACCGCATATTCTCACTCATAGGTGGGTGATGAAAAATGAGAACACATGGACACAGAAAGGGGAGTACTAAACACTGGGGTCTATTGGGGGGGAAAAGGGGAGGGCCAGTGGGAGGGGGAGGTGGGGAGGGATAGCCTGGGGAGAAATGCCAAATGTGGGTGAAGGGGAGAAGAAAAGCAAAGCACACTGCCATGTGTGTACCTACGCAACTGTCTTGCATGCTCTGCTCATGTACCCCAAAACCTAAAATCCAATAAAAAATTAAAAAAAAAAAAAAAAGGTAGCAAAATATAATGATTTTTTCTTTTCTTCTACAGTTTCTCTCTCACCTTGTCATGATGTTTTACCTGTTATCTGATGCCATCCCAAATTAAAATGTTAGATTATCAGCATTTTTACCTTCATCTTTATATGGTGTGATGCCAGTTTTAAATGCAAATATAAGAGCATTCGATTTGTACGTGGAATCATTAAAATTATGCAATCTGTATTTCACAGTTCCTCTCCACAAATGTATTTCACTCTTACCAGAACGGTGGAAATGCTGCAGAAAACCAACTCAACTATCTGTATTTCACTACATGTATTCTACCAAGACTCTCCACTTTTGGCTTACTGATGAGTAAAGACGGACTGAAAGGGAAAGGACTAGGAGTCACCCCATCTTTTTCCCTTTTGTTCAATGTCATTTTCAGTGTAAGTGACTAAACCAGGGAAGTGACATGAATAAGAAAGATTCCTTGGTCATTTGTGTTCCTTAAAATGCATTGTATTCTTTCTGCTTTCAGAGCAAGTTTTGGTTCTGATGGGAAGTGTGGCTTCTTGGGGCAGTGAATGCCCTACTTACTCTGCTGTAGATATAACTCCTTCAGCTTGCATTCACTCTGAGTCTCACTGCACCTCCATGGGTCCCCTGGAATTCTGTGTAAATAGGCACTGTGAATTCTGTGCGCAAATGGGTGCAAGACATAACAGACATTCCTATTGTGCCTGTCTTAGAGATTAAATTCATAAATATTTAAGACAGTGACAGCAGAGGATAAAATCAAGTTCTGGGTTGTGTTTGTGGTCTGGTGTTTGGGAAGCTGGTCCTGGCCCCCTCAATGGAGAACATGGTGATGCATATTCACCATTAATGTGGCCTGGCTGCTCTGCTTTTACCGATCTTACTTCTACCACTGACTTCCTTGCTCTCTATTTGGTATGCATTTTTTTTCAAATTTTTTATTGCGGTAAAATATATATTACATAAAACTTACAGTCGTAATCACTTTTAAGTGTATATATCAGTGGTACAAATGGATTAGTAATGTTGTGGAACTATCATATTTGGTGTGTGTTTTCACACAGTCCTAGCTTCAAATCATTTGTGATCATTCATGAACCTTTTCTCTGTATTTCTGCTAACTTCTGATACCAACTGACCAAGACTCTTCCCATTTCCATCTAAACTAGTAACAAAGAGACACAGATGGTCCTTCTCTCAGTGGAGATTTTCATGCTAGGCCATCCCTGGAATGGGGCAGAGGGGCGAGGATGGGTGGGGAAGAGGAAGAGGAGAATTGAAAACACATGAATAGGATTCAGGAAGCTGAAATTATTTAATCCTTTCTTAAACAATGGCTTTTTAATTTACAAAAGAATGACTGTAGAAAATAACTAAGAACGTCAATGATAATAAAAATACAGTTTTTTGGTGCATTACAGATAAACAAGTTCTATTAATAAGATTTAAGTATAGATATTTCCTAGTTTTATGCTACACATTATACTGAATATGAGCTCTCTTATAGATAAAGACCATTATATAGATTTTACCTATATGATTAATTCCACCAAAGAAATACTGTTTTCCACATGTTAATATTTCAGCTGAGATTCAGTTAATAATTTTCAGAAACAGTATTTTCCTCGCACTGACTTCATAGGAAGGAGAATTTTGTGTCTTGGAAACGTATGTCAGCAAGAGGACAAAATGGCAGTTAAGGGTTCATTTTATTTGTTTTCTTCACTTGTTTATTTTACTTTTGGCTTCGTAGTAATGAGTGGCATCGCCTAAGACCTTTCATTCATGATGACAAAATGCCATTTCTTCATGAGTGAATTTTTTTAATAAAAGTGCCATCTCCGACCGTGGCAGCAGTCCACAGCGTTTCTTTCTTGGGACCACGCTTGGGAAGGCTGGTTGACAACCAGCTGCTTGCATGACTGTTTCTTTCTTTTTTTTTGAGATGGAGTCTCGCCCAGCCTGCATGACTGTTTCTATCCAATTAGCAATTATGAAAATCAACCAAACAAAAGGAATTTATTTCTTCAAGTTAATACTGATTTTGTCAGCTTTCTCCCTACTCTATTTAGAAATACATATATGCAGGCCAGGCGCCATGGCTCACACCTGTAATCCCAGCACTTTGGGAGGCTGAGGCAGGCGGATCATCTGAGGTCAGGAATTCAAGACCAGCCGGCCAACATGGTAAAACCCTGTCTTCACTAAAAATACAAAAATTAACCAGGCGTGGTGGCACTTGCCTGTAATCCCAGCTACTCAGAAGGCTGAGACAGGAGAATCGTTTGAACCTGGGAGGCAGAGGTTGCAGTCAGCTAAGATCATGCCATTGCACTTCAGCCTGGCAGACAAGAGAAAGGCTGAGTCCTAAAAAAAAAGAAAAAAAAAAAAAAGAAATTGATCCCCAGTGATGGAGGTGGGGCCTGGTGGAAGATGTGTGGGAGATGGGGGCAGATACCTCATGAACGTCTTGGTGCCGTCCTTGTGGTAATGCATGAGTTCTTGCTTTTCTTTTCTTTTCTTTTTTTTTGAGACAGAGTGTTGCTCTGCGATCTTGGCTTACTGCAACCTCCACCTCCCAGGTTCAAGTGATTCTTCTGTCTCAGCCTCCCAAGTAGCTGGGATCGCAGGCGCCTGCCACCACGCCTGGCTATTTTTTTTTTTTTTTTCAGTAGAGACAGCGTTTAGCCATGTTGGCCGGGCTGGTCTTGAACTCCTGACCTCAAATGATCTGCCTGCCTCAGCATCCCAAAGTGCTAGGGTTACAGGCATGAGCCACCGTGCCTGTCTGACTTCTTGCTCTTTAAGTTACCTCGAGAACTGATGGTTTAAAAGAGCCTGGCACCTTCTTCCAACTCTCTGCTGTCCTCTTGCGCCATGTAATGTAGGCCTCCTTTGCCTTCCTCCGAGAGTGAAAGCCGGCTGATGCCCTCACCAGAAGCAGATGCTAGTACCATGCTTCCTGTATAGCCTGCAGAACCATGAGCCAAACAACCCCCTCCACAATTTTTTAAAATAAATTTCCCAGCCTGTGGCATTCCTTTATAGCAAGACAAAACAGATGAAGACATAGACCTTCTATAAATATGTCTCATTTGTGTTCAAAGGATTCTAATTTGTGGAAGTGACTGTGTGCTAACATGGAGAGGCCAATGCCACTGAAAGAAGAATTTATTACTTACATTTCCCAAGAGAAGAGGCCACACCACGCCATGCAGGGCCACAAGGGAAACACCAATTTTGGTCAGGAGGCAGAAAGGAGCCAGGGGAGAGCCTAGGCCACTTCTTTTACTGGGTTTCCACAGGAAAGCCAGTAAAGGCAAGGCAGGGGAAATAGTTTAGGATTGGCTAATGTGAATAATTCTGGTGGGCCTTGAGCTATTGGAGTGGTCCTTGGTTGACTAGTGACTGTCCCTGGAATGATGCAGGGAGAGGAAATACTGGGTTGGTGTGTGAGGCTAAAGAGAGTGGTTGGCTTGCACGGGAAAGGCATGCTCCCAAGTCATTTGTTCACTACGTTTAGGAATTGGCCCTGGGAAGGGCAGTCTCTCCCTGGGTCTGTAAGGCCCTCAAATGCCAGAGCATCAAGAATACAAAATACAGAAAAATAGTTAATACCGGCCAGGTGCAGTGGCTTATGCCTGTAATTCCAGCACTTTGGGAGGCCAAGGCAGGTGAATCACTTGAGGCCAGGAGTTCAAGATCAGCCTGGCTAACATGGTGAAACCCCAACTCTACTAAAAATACAAAAATTAGCCAGGTAGGGTGGCGTGCGCCTGTAATCCCAGCTACTCAAAGGCTGAGGCAGGAGAATCACTTGAACCCGGGAGGCGGAGGTGGCACTGAGCCAAGATTGTGTCATTGTGCTCTAGCCTAGGCAACAGAGCAAGACTCTGTCTAACCCCCCTGCCCAAAAAAAGTTAATACAATTGGCCCTGTGATAAACAGATGCCAAATAGACAAATACAGAATCTAAGAAAGTATGGTAAGAATATGATCATAGAAATGAAATACATTTTTATGTAATTAAATTTTCCTGTCACATAAATATGCAGTTGTGTAAATCCTGTTTTTCCATAGTATACAGAAACATTTATAGGGCATTGTGTAAGTGTTCAGATAAATACTAGATTTACATATCGAACAATGCAGTGATATTGTAGACTTAAACACATATAGTGAGATTTCACTATTACATTTTAAGTTGTGCTTGAATTGGGGGAGAAAAAGCAGGAGCATTTTTAAAAATTAGTTTCAATGGAAATTTTATTCCAATGGAATAAAAAAGAATATTGACATTCTGATAAGAACTCCTTCATGAAATGTAATTACAATGACTGTTCATTATAATGCACCAATACACTGCAGTTACTTCATACAAAGGGGGTAAAGTTTCCTTTGAGCTTTTATAAATTATGTATTTTCTTTTTGAAAAGAATCAAAGAACTTATATATTTTTTTCATTTTAAGAATAGATTGCCGTTATCAAGAAACTAGATGGTAGGACTTAGGAATTATTTGTACCTGAACATGAAGAAGGACATGTTCAAAGTTCATTGCAGCAGTGTTTGCAATAACAAATGACTGGAAACAATCCAAAAGTCCCTCAGTAAAGGAATTTATAAAATACCATTCAGACATTAAAATAAATAGATTATGGCTGGGCATGGCGATACACACCTGAAATCCTAGCACTTTGGGAAGCCAAGGCAGGCAGATCACTTGAGATCAGGAGTTTGAGACCAGCCTGGTCAACATGGTAAAACTTTGTCTACTAAAAATACAAAAATTAGTTAGGCATTATAGCACATGCCTGTAATCCCAGCTGCTCAGGAGGCTGAGGCAGGAGAATCCCCTGAACCTGGGAAGTAGAGTTTGCAGTAAGCCAAGGTTGCACCGTTGCACTCCAGCCTGGGAGACAGAGTTAGACTCAATCTCCAAAATAATAACAATAATAAAATAAATAGATTACAGCTATGTCTTCTAACACAGCAAGAACTAAAAAACATAATGTTGAATAAAAATTGCAGAAATATTATAGACTTGGCCAGGCACATTGGCTCATGCCTGTAAACCTAGCATTTTGGGAGGCCATGGCAGGCAGATCATCTGAGGTCAGGAGTTCAAGACCAGCCTGGCCAACATAGTGAAACCCCATCTCTACTAAAAACACAAAAATCAGCAAGGCATGTTGGAGTGTGCCTGTAAACCCAGCTATCTGGGAGACAGGCAGGAGAATTGCTTGAACCCGGGAGGCAGAGGTTGCAGTGAGCTGAGATTGTGCCTCAGCACTCCAAGCTGGGCAATAGAGCAAAGCTCTGTCTCAAAAAAAAAAAAAAAAAAAAAAGGAAGAAATATCACAGACTAAAGATGTCATACAGATAAAATTTTTAAATCCATAAAACAGTTCCCAATATGAGAAAGGAAAAAGAAAAGCAGGGGAATTTCATTTATCATAATTTTATTATTAAATAAAATGAATTAAGCTAATGCATAAAGTGAAAACTTTATTACATTTTTATCATTAAAAAGAAGAGAAGAAAATTGAATTGAAGCAAATATAAAATGTTGATATTTGTTCATCTGTGAGGCTAGCTTATGGGAGTTTGTTGTATATAATACTTTTCAAAAAATTTTAATTAAAAAAAGTACAAGCAAAACAAAAAAATGGATTGGCCTTATCTACAAAAAATGTAGAAATACCCTCAGTATTATAAATTATCAGAATAAGTAGTGCATACAGTAATTTGGAAAGTTAATGAGCATTTCTAGAAAATTATCAGTTTTGATTTTGATCAATTGGAAGTGTTAAGAAAATGGACCAAAAAAAAAAAAAAGAAAAGAAAGAAAGAAAATCAACAAATACAAAATATTAAATAGGGCCAGGCACATTGGTTCACACTTGTAATCCCAGTGCTTTGGAAGGCCAACGTGGGAGGATCACTTGAGAGCAGGATTTTGAGACCAGGATTTTAAGACCTGCCTGGGCAACACAGTGAGACCCTATCTCTACAAAAAAAATTTTGAATTAGCCAAGCATAGTGGTACACGCCTATAGTCCCAGCCACTTAGGAGGCTAAGGCGGGAGGATCACTTGAGCCCAGGCATGTGAGGCTGATGTGAGCTATGATTGCTCCACTGCCCTCCAACCTGGGCAACAGAGTGAGTTTGTCTCTAATAAAAAGAAAGAAAGAAGAAAGAAAAAATATTAAATAAATTACATACTATATTTTTTTGAATCAAAACCATCTATGTCTCAATGTATCGTTATTTTGTGTACCACAAAGGAGATAGGTAGAGAGAACAGTACCAACTGCCAACTGTGACTATTAGATGTCACTAATCTAAAGATGAATCCACATTGCAGACATGTTCAAAAGAAAAGCAAAACAAAACAAAGTACATATTAGAACTGGCAAAACGCAATAAGCATTTTGTACTGGATCTTCCATCAAAGCATGCACTGTATCTCCACCAAAAAAGCTTACTAAAATTCTTTCATGAAGGAAGATCTAAATAAATGAAGCAATATACCATATTTGAAGTTGGGATGACTTATTATTATAAAGAGTCCCCTTTGCCTATATTAATCTATAAGTTAATGCAATTCCAATCAAAATTCCAATTTTTTTTTAATTTATTCAGAGTCTTGCTCTATCACCCAGGCTGGAGTGCAGTGAGGCAATCTTGGCTCTCTGCAACCTAGGCCTCTCGGGTTCAAGCAATTCTCCCGTCTCAGCCTCCATAGTAGCTGGGAATTACAGGTGCTTGCCACCATGCCCAGCTAATTTTTGTATTTTTAGTATAGATGGGGTTTCACCGTGTTGGCCAGGCTGGTCTCAAACTCCTGATTACAGGCAATATACCTGCCTCAGCCTCCCAAAGTGCTGGGATTACAGGTGTGAGTCACCACGCCCAGCCCCAAGGGAAGGTTTTTAAGAGACTTGAACACTTTATTCTAAAGTTTATTCTAAAATTAAAGTCTAAGTAAAGCAATTTCAGAAAAGAATGGGAAAGGTAAGCTGTGTCAGAAGTGTATTCGTATACAAATATCAGAAAACCCTACCATAGAAGTTGCATAGACAAAGGATAATTTAACTCACGCTACAAGCCAAGCGAGAGTTGGGTTCATACTGACAGCTGAACAATGCTACCAGTCATAGAGGTTCTTCGCATTTTCCTGTTCTTACATCCTTAGATGTACACCTTTGTCCCCATGTGTGTTACCTCAGAATATTGTCTACATTCTAGGCAAGAAAAGAAGGAAAGGGAGAAGAGATGAATAACTTTCTATGGGACCTTTTTACTCAGGAAACAAAAATCACCCATCGGGAATTATGTCTCCATCTCACTATTTATAACCTTACCACATGGCTAACCCCTGCTGCAAGAGTCTGGGAAAATGATTATTTTGGCTGAGTGTATTGCTGTCCCAAACAAAATTGGGAGGCCAGTCCACAATGGTGGAGGTTAAGTGCACATGCACAGCGGAGAAGGAAAGTTCTGTTAGTGAAAAGGAAAGGGAATGAATACTGAATCATAATTAGGAGAGTCTGCTTTAAGAGAGGACTGTGTCTTCTAGCAAACAACAAAACAATCAGTACACATCTGGCACAAGCCAAACAAACTAACTGTGGACTAGAATGACATAGGATGGATGGGATGGAATTAAATAGAAAAGAATAGAAAGCTCAAAATACACACATGTTTATATGGGAATCTGTTATTTGATAGAGGTGGTCCCACAAAACAGCAAGAAAGGGATGCATTGTTGAATAGATGGCATTTGGAAAATTGGCCCATTTTATATAGAAAAATAAAGCTGAAACTTTGTTGCCCTATACATAAAGATGACTTCCAAACGGATCAACGACCTAAATGTAAAAGGTAAAGCTATGAAGTGAACATAGAATATGTAGAAGAATATTTTTTGAGTACTTGGGCATGGAGAAGGACTTCTTAAGATTTCACGAGAGGGTGGCCGAGCTTATGGCTCAGTGGCTCACGGCTATAATTCCAGCACTTTGGGAAGCCAAGGTGGGAGGATCACTTGAGGTCAGGAGTTCGAGACCAGCCTGGCCAATATGACAAAACGCATCTCTACCAAAAAATACAAAAATTAGCCAGGTGTGGTGGCATGAATCTGTAGTCCCAGCCACTTAGGAGGCTGAGGCATGAGAATTACTTGAACCTCAGAGGTGGAGGTTGCTGTGAGCCAAGATCGTGCCACTGCACTCCAGTCTAAAAGACAGAATAAGACTCCGTCAAAAAAAGAAAAAAGATACCGTGAGAGGGTAAAAAAATAGGTGGATATGACCATATGAATATTAAGGATCATTATTCAATGAAGAACATGGGAGATAAGACTTACAGTTGGAAGATCATTTGGGAGAAGATAGAGCTTTCTGTGACGATGAAATGTTTTCCATCTGTACTCTCCAATATGATAGTCACTATCCACACAGGGCTACTGAGCACTTGAAATGGGGATAGTGCAACTGAACAACTGAATTTTTAGTTTTAATTCATTTAAATTTAAATAGCCATCTGTGGCTAGTGGTTACCATATGGAGCAATATAGAACTAGGGTATCTGAAGCACTCTAGCAGATCAGTAAGAAAAAATACAAGATTGTCCAATATAAAAATAGGTTAAGAATATAAATAGGTTGACAGAGGGGAAGCCCAAGTACCTAGCTTTTAGGAAAAGATCCAAAATCACAAGTAAATAGCAAAATATAAATTAAAACCATAAGACAGTACTGCTAAAATTGGAAAGTCATGATCCCAAGTGTTAGTGAAGATGTAAGAGCAACGCTCATTTACTACTGAAGGTTGGGGAGTAGACTTCTGCAGCCATTTTGTAATTAAGTATGTATATATCAAATAACCAATCAATCCTTCTCACCTTCCCTAGAACAACTCCCACAGAGATTGTTGAGGAGGTCCATGTGAAACTCCTCAACAATCCAAGTTGAGGATTCCCTTGGAGAATACCTTGACCCCATCACAGGATTATGGCTCCTTTACTCAGCCCACAGCTTTCAAACTTTCATGGGAGGGGGAGCACGCAGGTGAAAGGGTGCAGAGGCCAGGACAAGCGCTTCTGGCCAACTGGCAGGAGCAGAACTCTGTGCAGGCCTGCAGCAGCATCTAGGGGTTGCCTGTGACCCCTGACACCCGATAGGGAGTGTTACAGTGTGCTCTCTTAGCTTGGCCATCTGCAGATGGCTAAGTGTTTCATAGCTCATTGTGACAGCCCTCTGTATAACAAGCTCTTGTTTGGCATCCAGGAAGAATCACATCACACAAACAAATTGAAGGGTAGTGAATGTGGTGGATTTTATTGAGTGGTGGCAGTGGCTCTCAGCAGGATAGGGAGCTGGAAATGGGATGAAGTGGGAAGATGGCTTCCCCTGGAATTCGGCCATCCCTGTCTGAACTCCTCTCTGAGATCTCACTGTCAAGCCATCCCTCTGCAGTCAAGCTGCTTCTCTCCGATGTCCAACTGCTTCTTCTCTTCCTTTTTGCCACTCTGCCACTCCAACAGTGGGGCCTGTGGAGTTTTTATGGGCACAGAATGCATGTTCTCACTTTGGGCCATGGGTCCAGGCTTGAGGGTGAGGCCCTTGCTGGGGACTGCCCTTTTCTATCCAGTATTTCCCCTGCCTCCTGTCTATATCACATATACAAAGGTGGAAGGTGCTCATCATATTTTTTTGTGTATCAGGGTCTTGCTCTGTTGCCCAGGCTAGAGTGCAGTGGAAGATGAAGGCTCACTGCAGCCTCAGTCTCCTCAAGGCTCCAGCAGTCTTTCTATCTTAGACTCCTGAGTAGCTGGGACCACAGAAATGCACCACCACACGTAGTTAATTTATTTGTTTTTATTTTTTGTAGTGATTGGGTCTCCCTATGTTGCCCAGGATGGTCTTGAACTCCTGGGCTCAGGAAGTCCTCCCACCTCAGCCTTCCAAAGTGCTGGGATTATAGGCATGAGCCACCGCGGCTGACGACACTGTTTATGACAGTAGAGATTTAGAGGCAATGTAAGTTTATCATGGGTGGTAATGGAGATGTTAAATCTGATGGAGGTATACTATGGAATACCCTGTTAGAGCCACAAATAATGAACCAGAGCTACATACAATAATAAGAAGAGAGCTGAGAAATCTAGCGTTAGGTGAGAAAGGTAAGAAACAGAGTGAGATGTGATGGTATGATCCTATAAACACAGGTTTTCAACATCGACTCACCCAAAAACATAATATATTCTTCCGAGATGTTTATATAACCACGGCCATATATCAAACACATTACTCTTGCTTGGTACCTACTGACAATTTTATACTATGAAGTAGAGGTGAAAAGGAAATGAGGGGCAGGGAACAGGGGGAAAAAGAGAAAAGGCTACTATAAACAGGTGTGATGATAATATGCCATAAATGAAAAGAGAGAATTAACTTAACCCTCAAACCTGTTGTAGAACTGAAATGGGTTCTGCTAGCCCGGCACAGTGAGACCAGATATCCACAAGGAGGTTTGCAGCAGGTGAAAGGAAGGGTTTATTGACAGGGTGCCAAGCAAGGAGGCTCAGGCAGCTAACACTTTAAACTCTGACCTTCCCTATGACTAGCAGGTAAGGGTTTATAAAGCAGGGGTAAATTTAAGGAAAGCAGAAGCTATAGGCAAAATCATAAATCAATGGTTTAGGGCCCAAACCATAAATCAAAACCATAAATCAAGGTTACACATTGGTTTTAGCCCTTAAGTGCAGGCTATCTTGAAGCAGGGGCTTATAGGTCACAGATAGATTCAAAGACTTTCTGATTTGCAACTGGTTTGACAAGCTTTGTTTAAGAATTTGGGGTCAGCAGAAAAGAATGTTAGGTGCAGCTCACAGGTGTGACTTTCTCCATGCCCTGCAGGAAGAAATTTAGACCAAAAGACGGTTATCAGAGTTCAGTCCCCAGATCTCCCTTACCTGAGGTCTGCGTGCAGGTAGATGTGCAGAGGCAGACCTGTTTGGTGAACCACTGGTGAGCCAAAAAACAACTCAGAAACATATGTTACAATGTCATCTTTAGTTTGTATAGGGGAACCAAATATCACTTGATTCTAGCTTCCTTGGCTCTTGTTTTAGGCTACTATTACTGTCTTGCTCATCAAATTGCTTATTTACCTCTCAGGGCTAACTAGGTGCCTGGAACTTGAAGGAACTCAAGATTTTCCTTAATTTCCAAGCTTGGGGGTACCCACAGGCCTCTAAGGAGGTCCTTACTCCATCTCACATCTGATGTCCAAGGAAAGACAGAACAAAATATAGTCTAGTATGTGAATTTCCTGGATCTTAAAATGACTATGCATGGCTTTCTTGATACTGTGCATATTCTTTGAGCTAAATAGAAGCATGTTCTGTGCTCTGTTGCCTCTTTTATGTCAGCACTTGCTTTAAACATAAGCATGTTTATAATTCATCATATTGGGCTCTGCTCATTTCTATAAACTCCACCAGCTGCTGTTGCTTTGGCACAACTGAGTATTTTATGTTCCACTGAAGTATTTCCCTGACAAACATAATGCTTTGTGAAACCTGTATGGCAGAAAATGTCTGAATGTTGAATTGAGACCATGGAACTGAAGAGCGAATGGGCCAAGAAGATCAGAGCTTATGACAATCCACAGGTGGCCCTGGATGCAGGTTTAGACACTATTATTTCAGACAACATTCTCAGCCATGTGCATCATTCAATCCTCTACTTCTGAAATGATTTGCATAATCATGCTGCTGGGCCTGTGATGAAATTCCTATGGCAGCGTTGAAACTTTTTCAGATTCTCATTCTTTCCCCTCGTTTTTTCTTTCTCTTTTAGAATTCTGCAGGAATGGATTTGTGTGGGGTTTTCTTTTCTGTAGAACTTGATGTTGTATATCTTTCGTAAGTGTCCAGAGCTGAGAAAGAAAGGGATTGGATACCGTCATATTTTACTGTGCCTTCCATAAGACATTTCAACAATCTCTGTAAATTAGTTTATCTTCTTGATTTTTATTGATTTCTTAAATTAATGACCTCCTCCAAAAGAAGGTGTGATACTTTAATTTCTTTTCTTTTTTCTTTTTTTTTTTTTTTTTGAGTGCAGTGGCATGCTCATAGCTCACTGCAGCCTCACCTCCAGGGCTCAAGCAATCCTCCTGCCTCAGCCTCCTGACAAGTTGGGCCTACAGGAATGCACTACCACATCCTTCTAACTTTTTTTTATTTTTAGTAGAGATGGGGTCTCACTATGTTGTCCAGGCTGGTCTCAAACCCCTGGGCTCAAGTGATCCTCCCGCTTCAGCCTACCAAAGGGTTGGGACTATAGATGTGGCCACTGCACCCTGCAACGTGTTAATTTCAAAACCATTATCTTTAAAATAATGGATATTAATGTCTATATGGATTGCCAAACTACAGAGAGAATAGTTATTTTGTTCCATTCCTTATAAAGCTTTCCTCTTCTCCAAAATAGCTATGTCTGTTGAATGATGGCAATATCAATATGTCAACAAAAATTTTAGGTATATAAATTCCTTTTTATTCATCACCCCCATTATTACTAATGTCACTCTACCTTCAAACAAAAAATAAAATCGAAAGGTAGCACATATCTGACTTAGACTCTTGAAAACTTTTAACTACTTACATTTCTGATAATAAATGAGCCTTAGCAACAAATCAAACTCAGAACCCAAAAAGTAAATAAACTTAGTTTCTTAACTATGTTATTTTGCCCCAAGCCAAAGATATTTATTTATTTTTTTATATTTTTTAAATTTTTTATTGGATTTTAGGTTTTGGGGTACATGAGCAGAGCATGCAAGACAGTTGCATAGGTACACACATGGCAGTGTGCTTTGCTTTCCTTCTCCCCTTCACCCACATTTGGCATTTCATCCCAGGCTATCCCTCCCCACCTCCCCCCCCCACTGGCCCTCCCCTTTTCCCCCCAATAGACCCCAGTGTTTAGTACTCCCCTTTCTGTGTCCATGTGTTCTCATTTTTCATCACCCGCCTATGAGTAAGAATATGCAGTGTTTCATTTTCTGTTCTTGTGTCAGTTTGCTGAGGATGATGTTCTCCAGATTCATCCATGTCCCTACAAACGACACGAATCATTTCTGATTGCTGCATAATATTCCATGATGTATATGTGCCACATTTTTCCAATCCAGTCTATTATCAATGGGCATTTGGGTTGATTCCAGGTCTTTGCTATTGTAAACAGTACTGCAATGAACATTCGTGTACATGTGTCCTTATAGTAGAACGATTTATAGTCTTTTGGATATATACCCAGTAATGGGATTGCTGGGTCAAATGGAATTTCTATTTCCAAGGCCTTGAGGAATCGCCACACCGTCTTCCAAAATGGTTGAACTAATTTACACTCCCACCAACAGTGTAAAATTGTTCCTTTTTCTCCACATCCTCTCCAGCATCTGTTGTCTCCAGATTTTTTAATGATCGCCATTCTAACTGGCATGAGATGGTAACTCAATGTGGTTTTGATTTGCATCTCTCTGATGACCAGTGACGATGAGCATTTTTTCATATGATTGTTGGCCTCATATATGTCTTCTTTCGTAAAGTATCTGTTCATATCCTTTGCCCACTTTTGAATGGGCTTGTTTGTTTTTTTCCTGTAAATCTGTTTGAGTTCTTTGTAAATTCTGGATATCAGCCCTTTGTCAGATGGGTAAACTGCAAAAATTTTTTCCCATTCTTTTGGTTGCCAATTCACTCTAGTGACTGTTTCTTTTGCCGTGCAGAAGCTGTGGAGTTTCATTAGGTCCCATTTGTCTATTTTGGCTTTTGTTGCCAATGCTTTTGGTGTTTTGTTCATGAAGTCCTTGCCTACGCCTATGTCCTGGATAGTTTTGCCTAGATTTCCTTCTAGGGTTTTTATCGTGCCAGGTCTTATGTTTAAGTCTTTAATCCATCTGGAGTTAATTTTAGTGTAAGGTGTCAGGAAGGGGTCCAGTTTCTGCTTTCTGCACATGGCTAGCCAGTTTTCCCAACACCATTTGTTAAACAGAAAATCCTTTCCCCATTGCTTGTTTTTGTCAGGTTTATCAAAGATTGTATGGTTGTAGACATGTTGTGTTGCCTCCGGTGTCTCTGTTTTGTTCCATTGGTCTATATCTCTGTTTTGGTACCAGTACCATGCTGTTTTGATTACTGTAGCCTTGTAGTATAGTTTGAAATCTGGTAGTGTGGTGCCCCCCGCTGTGTTCTTTTTGCTTAGAATTGACTTGGCTATGCGGGCTCTCTTTTGGTTCCATATGAAGTTCATGGTGGTTTTTTCCAGTTCTGTGAAGAAAGTCAATGGTAGCTTGATGGGGATAGTGTTGATTCTGTAAATTACTTTGGGCCGTATAGCCATTTTCATGATATTAATTCTTCCTAACCATGAACACGGAATGTTTCTCCATCTGTTTGTGTCCTCTCTGATTTCGTTGAGCAGTGGTTTGTAGTTCTCCTTGAAGAGGTCACTTACGTTCCTTGTGAGTTGTATTCCAAGGTATTTTATTCTTTTTGTAGCAATTGTGAATGGCAGTTCGTTCTTGATTTGGCTTTCTTTAAGTCTGTTATTGGTGTAGACGAATGCTTGTGATTTTTGCACATTGATTTTATATCCTGAGACTTTGCTGAAGTTGCTTATCAGTTTCAGGAGTTTTTGGGCTGAGGCGATGGGGTCTTCTAGGTATACTATCATGTCGTCTGCAAATAGAGACAATTTGGTTTCCACCTTTCCTATTTAAATACCCTTTATTTCTTTTTCTTGCCTGATTGCTCTGGCTAGAACTTCCAGTACTATATTGAACAGGAGTGGTGAAAGAGGACATCCTTGTCTAGTGCCAGATTTCAAAAGGAATGCTTCCAGTTTTTGCCCATTCAGTATGATATTGGCTGTTGGTTTGTCATAAATAGCTTTTATTACTTTGAGATACGTTCCATCGATACTGAGTTTATTGAGGGTTTTTAGCATAAAGGGCTGTTGAATTTTGTCAAATGCCTTCTCTGTGTCAATTGAGATAATCATGTGATTTTTGTCCTTGGTTCTGTTTATGTGGTGAATTACGTTGACAGACTTGCGTATGTTGAACCAGCCTTGCATCCCCGGGATGAATCCTACTTGATCATGATGAATACATTTTTTATTTGCTGTTGCAATCGGCTTGCCAATATTTTATTGAAGATTTTTGCATCTATGTTCATCATGGATATTGGCCTGAAGTTTTCTTTTCTTGTTGGGTCTCTGCCGGGTTTTGGTATTAGGATGATGTTGGTCTCGTAAAATGATTTGGGAAAGCTTCCCTCTTTTTGGATTGTTTGAAATAGTTTTAGAAGGAATGGTACCAGCTCCTCTTTGTGTGTCTGGTAAAATTCGGCTGTGAATCCGTCTGGACCTGGGCTTTTTTTGAGTGGTAGGCTCTTAATTGCTGCCTCGACTTCTGACCTTGTTATTGGTCTATTCATAGTTTCAGCTTCCTCCTGGTTTAGGCTTGGGAGGACACAGGAGTCCAGGAATTTGTCCATTTCTTCCAGGTTTACTAGTTTATGTGCATAGAGTTGTTTGTAATATTCTCTGATGATGGTTTGAATTTCTGTGGAATCTGTGGTGATTTCCCCTTTATCATTTTTTATTGCATCTATTTGGTTGTTCTCTCTTTTCTTTTTAATCAATCTGGCCAGTGGTCTGTCTATTTTGTTGATCTTTTCAAAACCAGCTCTTGGATTTATTGATTTTTTGAAGGGTTTTTCGTGTCTCAATCTTCTTCAGTTCAGCTCTGATCTTAGTTATTTCTTGTCTTCTGCTGGGTTTTGAGTTTTTTTGATCTTGCTCCTCTAGTTCTTTCAATTTTGATGATAGGGTGTCAATTTTGGATCTCTCCATTCTCTTCATATGGGCACTTATTGCTATATACTTTCCTCTAGAGACTGCTTTAAATGTGTCCCAGAGGTTCTGGCATGTTGTGTCTTCGTTCTCATTGGTTTCGAAGAACTTCTTTATTTCTGTCTTCATTTCATTGTTTACCCAGTCAACATTCAAGAGCCAGTTGTTCAGTTTCCATGAAGCTGTGCGGTTCTGGGTTGGTTTCTGTATTCTGAGTTCTAACTTGATTGCACTATGGTCTGAGAGGCTGTTTGTTATGATTTCAGTTGTTTTGCATTTGTTGAGCAGTGCTTTACTTCCAATTATGTGGTCAATTTTTGAGTAGGTGTGATGTGGTGCTGAGAAGAATGTGTATTCTGTGGATTTGGGGTGGAGAGTTCTGTAAATGTCTATCAGGTTTGCTTGCTCCAGGTCTGAGTTCAAGCCCTGGATATCCTTGTTGATTTTCTGTCTGGTTGATCTGTCTAATATTGACAGTGGAGGGGTTAAAGTCTCCCACTATTATTGTGTGGGAGTCTAAGTCTCTTTGTAAGTCATTAAGAACTTGCCTTATGTATCTGGGTGCTCCTGCATTGGGTCCATATATGTTCAGGATCGTTAGCTCTTCTTGTTGTATCGATCCTTTTACCATTATGTAATGGCTTTCTTTGTATCTTTTGATCTTCATTGCTTTAAAGTCAATTTTATCAGAGATGAGAATTGCAACTCCTGCTTTTTTTTGCTCTCCATTTGCTTGGTAAATCTTGCTCCATCCCTTTATTTTGAGCCTTTGTGTATCCTTGCATGTGAAATGGGTTTCATGGATACAGCACACTGATGGGTTTTGGCTTTTTATCCAATTTGCCAGTCTGTGTCTTTTGATTGGTGCATTTAGTCCATTTACATTTAGGGTTAATATTGTTATGTGTGAATTTGATACTGCCATTTTGATGCTAAGTGGCTGTTTTGCCTGTTAGTTGTTGTAGATTCTTCATTATGTTGATGTTCTTTAGCATTTAGTGTGATTTTTGGAATGGCTGGTACTGGTTGTTCCTTTCTGTGTGTAGTGCCTCTTTTAGGAGCTCTTGTAAAGCAGGCCTGGTGGTGACAAAATCTCTGAGTACTTGCTTGTTCACAAAGGATTTTATTTTTCCTTAACTTCTGAAGCTCAGTTTGGCTGGATATGAAATTCTGGGTTGAAAGTTCTTTTCTTTAAGAATGTTGAATATTGGCCCCCACTCTCTTCTGGCTTGTAGTGTTTCTGCCGAGAGATCTGCTGTGAGTCTGATGGGCTTCCCTTTGTGGGTGACCCGACCTTTCTCTCTGGCTGCCCTTAGTATTTTCTCCTTTATTTCAACCTTGTTGAATCTGACGATTATGTGCCTTGGGGTTGCTCTTCTTGCGGAATATCTTTGTGGTGTTCTCTGTATTTCCTGCATTTGAGTGTTGGCCTGTCTTGCTAGGTGGGGGAAATTTTCCTGGATGATGTCCTGAAGAGTATTTTCCAGCTTGGATTCATTCTCTTCGTCCCCTTCTGGTACACCTGTCAAACGTAGGTTAGGTCTTTTCACATAGTCCCACATTTCTTGGAGACTTTGTTCATTCCTTTTTGCGCTTTTTTCTCTAATCTTGGTTTCTCATTTTATTTCATTGAGTTGGTCTTCGACTTCAGATATTCTTTCTTCTGCTTGGTCAATTCGGCTATTGAAACTTGTGCATGCTTCGTGAAGTTCTCATATTGTGTTTTTCAGCTCCTTTAATTCATTCATATTCCTCTCTAATTTATCCATTCTTGTTATCATTTCCACATATCTTTTTTCAAGTTCCTTAGCTTCTTTGCATTGATTTAATACATGTTCTTTTAGCTCACAAAAGTTTCTCATTATCCACCTCCTGAAGTCTAATTCCGTCATTTCGTCACAGTCATTCTCTGTCCAGCTTTGTTCCCTTGCTGGTGAGGAGTTTTGGTCCTTTCTAGGAGGTGAGGTGTTCTGGTTTCGGGTGTTTTCCTCCTTTTTTCGCTGGTTTCTTCCCATCTTTGTGGATTTATCCACTTGTTGTCTGTGTAGTTGCTGACTTTTCGATTGGGTCTCTGAGTGGACACCCAGATTGTTGATGATGAAGTATTTCTGTTACTTGGTTTTCCTTCTACCAGTCTAGTCCCTTCGCTGTACGACTGCTGAGGTCCACTCCAGGCCCTGCTTGTCTGGGGTGCACCTCTAGCAGCTGTGGCACAGCAAGGGATGCTACCAGTTTCTTTTTCTGCTATCTTTGTCCCAGGATGATGCCTGCCAAATGTCAGTCTTTTGGATATAGAGGGGTCAGGGAGCTGCTTGAGGAGACAGTCTGTACTTTATAGGAGCTCAATTGCTGAGCTGTGAGCTCTGTTGTTCATTCAGGGCTGTTAGGCTGCTATGTTTGATTCTGTTGCAACAGAGCTCATTATAAAAACCCTTTTTTTCTAAAATGCTCTGTGGTGGGAGGTTTGGGCTTTATTTTTGGATGTTCGTTGAGGTGTCCTGCCCAGCTAGGAGGCAGACTAGCCACTGTTTGCCTGCCGAGGCTCTGCCCTGCTGTTGTGTGGTTCGCCCTGTTGGTTCAGGCTCTGCTGTTCTGCTGTGGTCTCCGCCACGCCCTGCGGCAGAGTCTCTCTGTTGTAGCGGGTTGCCTCGGCAACGGCTGGCTGCGTCAGCAGTGGGCGTGTATCTCAGTTGGGGTGGGTTGCCTCGGTAATGGTGGACGCCCCTCCCCCACAGAGCGACTCGGACCGTCCGCACGGGGATCGTTTGAAATCGTGGTTTTGTTTGTCCCACTGGGCTACCCCAGACGCTCTGTCCCTGCAATCCCCTGGGCTGGCCCACTGTCCAAGTCTCGTTCAGTCTCAAGTCCAGCCCTCTCAAGTCTCAGGTTGCCGGTTCAACAGGGCACCCGGACAAGCACGCCCTGTGAGAAGCGCTGGGTAGGGCCGGCCGCCGCTACCCCGGCTGCCAGCTTCGCCAGGCAGAGGTACTACCTGGCGTCCTGCGTCTCCTTCATACTTGAGAATTTCCCCATTCTGTGGGCAACAAATATCAGTCTGGAAATGCAGCTCTGACTCACCTCTCCGTGGATTCAAGGAGAGCTCCAATCCTGGGTTGTTCTCACAGCGCCATCTTGAGTCCTCCCCCCGCCAAAGATATTTATATCTTCCAGAGATGATATAATCTCCCAAGCCAAGGAAAGAAAAAAATGTTAGAAAGAATCCAATACATGAATGAGCTTTGAAGGATTTTGAAAGATTTCTAGGAAATGTTTTTACCTGCTGCACACCCACTACCTTTAGACATCAGTTACTACACTTGCATGGGAGGAGGATCTTTGGGGTGTTTATATTTATTTTCTCTATTTTGTCATTGATTCATTCATGTCATTAAGCACAAATATGTACACATGATGTATATGACATATATAAATACATACATATAACATATATCTATGTATATTTTGCTATGTGCCAGGCATTGTTCAAAGCCCTGGAAATGCAACGCCCAAGAGCCTTTATACCTCAAATCCAGAAAGGGGAAACAGACAATTAAGCAATGTAAATAAGGTGTCATAAGTGCTCCACTAAGACAAATAAAACGTACAATGGGAGCTCATAGCAGAGGCACCCACTTAGGATGAGACCAGACTAAATGTTCAAGGCAGGCGTAATGGATAAAGGGATATTTACACAGAGTCCCAAAAGATGAGTCAGATTCAGTTCTTGGAAAACAAGAGCATAAGAAAATATGTTCCAAGCATAGAGGGATACAGCAGGGAGGTTGAAGGGAGAAAGTTACAAACAGAAGCATATGATTAGAGGAACATTCCAGAAACATCACTCCACCTGCAGAAAGGACACAGAAGACAATTACATCTGTCAGGAATCCATACAAAGGTTGAACTAAAATAATACAGTAAGGATAGAAAGAGGAGATTTACAGAAAAGGTAAATTCACAGGTCAATTAACTGTCAGAATGGGGTCGGTTGATCACAGCCCTTGAATTTTAAACATAGTAGTGAACAGTTATATGGTAGGCTACTGTATTAGTCAGAATTGTTGATGCTAACAGCTAACCACCCAAAATCTCAGTGGTTTAGCACAATAAATGTTTATTTTTATTTCTCTGTCACCTCACAGTCCGAAGCTGAGCTGAGAGAAAGTGGGTTCTGTTTCATCCAGTCATTTGTATCTCCACATTTTCTCCCTGGATTCAGGTATTCAAAAGACATTATCAGGCTTCTGTCCCTCCCTTTTTTGTTGTTGTTGTTGAGATGGAATTTCACACTTGTCGCCCAGGCTGCAATCTCGGCTCACTGCAACCTCCACCTCCTGGATTCAAGTGATTCTCCTGCCTCAGCCTCCCAAGTAACTAGAATTACCATGCCCAGCTAATTTTGTATTTTCAGTAGAGACGGGGTTTCTCCATGTTGGTCAGGCTGGTCTCAAACTCCTGACCTTAGGTGACCTGCCTGCCTCAGCTTCCCAAAGTGCCTGGATTATGGGCATGAGCCACCATGCCCAGCCCTGTCCCTCCCTTTTTATTTCTCAGCTCTTCCTTCCTCTCCACTGGTTTACCCCTAGAGAAGCTCTCTCTTTATGGTGGCAAGGATGGGACCCCAGCATCTCCACTCAAATGATCTCTATTGCAGCAGGCCCCAACCTTTTTGGCACCAGGGACTGGTTTCATGCAAGACAGTTTTTCCATGGATGGTAGTGGAGGGATGGTTTTGGGATGAAACTGTTCCACTTCAGATCATCAGGCATTAGATTTTCATAAGGAACACGCAACCTACATCACTTGCATGCGCAGTTCACAATAGGGTTCACCCTCCTGTGAGAATCTAATGCTCCCACTGAACTGACAGGAGGCAGAGCTTAGGCAGTAATGCTCGCTTGCCTGCTGCTCACCTCCTGCTGTGCAGCTGGGTTCCTTACAGGCCACAGACTGGTACTGATCTGTGGCCCTGGGGGTTGGGGAACTCCTGCTCTAGTGTATCATCTCAGGAGATAAGCTTTCCCCAACCCTTCTCTTAGCATCTCTAATAATCTCTGCAAAAAGATTCTGGACTTCCTTGGCTCAGATAACCACCCAGAGGCAGTCACTGTCCAAGTGGATGAAGAACAGCCTGAGTCACACCCCAGAGGCAGGGGAGATCTGATGACTGGTATCCCATCAGATGTGGGAGAAGGAGCTCCTAAGAGGAACAGACAAAGGCTCTCATATCAGAAAACAGGGATAAGTAGCTGCAAAAACAACAGCCATCACCAAAGCTATATAAGTTTTAATTTCCCATCAAACTCTGGTTTAAGATCTTAGCAAAACTGAAGGGTAGAAAATCAACCTATGAAATTTTAAGTTAGGAGTGCCCAATGAGCAACCTGCTGTGCTCTTATGCTGTGAAGTATGATGACTAAATATTTCCATTGTGTAAATCTAAAATGTCACATTTTTTTCATATCTATATGTTCACTGGTGTTTTAGTTTTGAAACTACATGGATTTACCCCAGTCTTTAGCCTGTACTGAGGTTTATGGGTCTCCTGGGGAAAACCTAAGTTTAGTGTAAAATTTGTTGTCTTCCATTGCAAGGGAAAAACAATCTGCCCTAGCAAATCCTGTAGGAATATGATTTATGAGTGTATGCTTAGGTGTTTCATTACTACATAACTTTTATTAGTGCTTCTATTAATATTGCCAGTCATGAGCCATAAAATTGACTCTGAGTGCATCCACAGGCTTTTCTTTCTGAATCACTGTTTTTTCTATAAAACATTTTGGTAAAAAACAAAAAGTGGCAATTCACTTGGTTTTGGCTTAGCACTTGCAGTTTCTAGAAGTGGAATCTTAGCTCAGAACTGTGGGAGCTCTCAGAAGTCATCTCACCTTATTCCCTATTTCTCTGTTTATAGAGGGTAGGCACTTGATACACTTAGCAGAATGAATGAATCTTTGCTGTGGCATCACACTGTTGTTAAGCTTATTACCTCACAACAGCCCAGGTTTTCATGTGATTGTTTTATTTTGTTTTTGACACAAATTCTTTTTTTTTTTTTTGAAACAGAGTCATACTCTGTTGCTCAGGCTAGAGTGCAGTGGCGTGACTGGAGCTCACTGCAACCTTCACCTCCTGGGTTCAAGCAATTCTCCTGCCTCAGCCTCCCTCCCAAGTAGCTGGGATTACAGGCATGCACCATTATGCTATATTAGACAGGGTTCTCTAGAGGGACAGAACTAATAGGCTAGATAGATATACATATAAAGGGGAGTTTATTAAGTATTAACTCACATGATTACAAGGTCCCACAATAGGCTGAGGAGCAAGGAGAGCCAGTCCAAGTACCAAAACTTAAGAACCTGGAGTCCAATGTGCAAGGGCAGGCAGCATCCAGCATGGGAGAAAGATATAGGCTGGGAGGCTAGACCAGTCGAGTTTTTTCACACTTTTCTGCCTGCTTTATATACTAGCCATGCTGGCAGCTGATTAGATGGTGCCCACCCAGAATAAGTATGGGTCTGCCTTTCCCAGCCCACTGACTCAAATGTTAATCTTTGGCAACACCAGCACAGACACCATGGACCAATACTTTGCATCCTTCAACCCAATCAAGTTGACACTCAGTATTAACCATAACACATGCCCAGTTAATTTCTGTAATTTTAGTAGAGCTGGGGTTTTGCCATGTTGGCCAGGCTGGTCTTGAACTCCTGGCTTCAAGTGATCTGCCTGCCTTGGCTTCCCAAAGTGTGGGGATTACAGGCATGAGCCACTGTGCCCAGCTGACAAGTTCTAATGATCAGAAATTTGATCAATTTTTTTCCTTTGAGCCTGTATTAGGCCATTCTTGCATTACTATAAAGAAATACCTAGACTGGGTAGTTTATAAATAAAAGAGATTTAATTGGCTCACAGTTCTGCAGGCTGTATAGGAAGCACTGCAGTATCTGCTTCTGCAGAGGCCTCAAGAAGCTTATACTCATGGTATGAAGGGGAGCAGGTACTTCACATGGTGAAAGCAAGAACAAGAGTGTGAGGTGGGGAGTGCCACACACTTTTAAATGACCAGATCTTGTGAGAACTCGCTCACTCTCTATCGTGAAGACAGTACCAATGGGATGGTGTCACACTATTCATAAGAAATCCAGCCCCATGATCCAGTCACCTCCCACCAGGCCCTACTTCCAGTATTGGGGATTGTAATTCAACATGAGATTTTAGTGGGGAAACAGATCCAAACCTTATCAGAGCACCACAGAAGGAGCCTGCATAGGATGACAGGTCTCATTTTCATTTTACCCTAGGTTCCCTGAGGCTTTTCTTCTCCAGGCTTCATACCCTCAGTTCTGTCCAACTTCCCCAACATGCCATAGTTGCTACAGTCACCCTCTATCTTGAACACTTTACTGTAGCTATGTTCCAGTCCTCTTTGGGCACGGCTGTTCACTGTATTATAAATCTACCTGCCCTTCTGTCTTCTGGTTCCCATTCTTACATCTTATTCATAATGACATTTCAGGAGACTGTCCAATTATTTGCTGAAGTCCAGATACCTATTTCAACAGCCTTTGACCAAGACAAACTATCAAAAAAAGAAATGAGTTTTGTTTGAGACAGGGTCTCACTCTGTCATCCAGACTAGAGTGCAGTGGTGTGATCTCAGCTCACTGCAACCTCTGTCTACCAGGCTCAAGCACTTCTCCTGCCTCAGTCTCCTGAGTAGCTAGGATTACAGGCACATGCCACTACCACCTGGCTAAGTTTTGTAGTTTTAGTACAGACAAGATTTCACCATGTTGGCTAGGTTGGTCTCAAACTTCTGACCTCAAATGATCCACCCACCTTGGCCTCCCAAAGTGCTGGGATTACAGGCATGAGCCACCGTGCTCAGCCTGAGATACGTTTTGTCTGAAATGTTCCCCATGTAGAACATTAAGGCTGCCAATCTATAATTTGCAGCATCCTCTTTTTTCCTTCTTTAAATGAAATTGACACTTTTCCCTGACTTTAATCATCTGATCCTTTTCCCTTTTTCATGAGCCATCAAAGGTTATTACAAGCTTTCATGGATCTCATTACAGATCTGGGCAGTATCCTTGGGTGTAATTGTGGTGATAATATTTTGAGATATTACCTGAAAAATCCTTCTCTAAATTTTTTACCATTTGTCTTTTATTCATTTAGCCAATGCACTCATTGCCTTAGGGAAAGACCATTACAGCAGAAAACCAAAGAAAGAGCTTTTAAAATTTCTGAAGCTTATGCTTTGGGATATTAAAAAAAAAATAGCTAGGCCTAGAGAGAATTCAGGTCACAAAATTTAAATAGGAGAAAATGAGTTATGAGCATGTCTGCTTCTCCTGGTCCTCTGCTTCCCTTCAGCTCTAACCCTGGTCCACTGAGCTATGGAAATTTGTTCAAATATGGGAAAAGAGGAGAAATCCTCAAGATGGCTGGAAATCCAAGAACAGGAGAGAACATGGGCATCCCTAGTCAATGAGGCAAAGCTTGAGGGTTTTCCCCTGCCAAGAAGAGCAGAATTAGTGCAAATGTCCACATGATATATCCTGGCCACCCAAGTCAACCCTACAAGGCCCTGATCTCCCCAATGCAATAGGGGGCAAAGGGTGGTAGAATGATTTCCCATAAGCCTGAGAGTAGCATAGAAGTGAAGGTCATGCAAAGATGAAGGCTTAAAACAGAAATGTATAAGTACTAGGAAGAAAAAACCTGCATTCTTATAGTGGATACTGTAGCACTTCATCCAGAGTCGCTCCTTAGGGTTGACTCACATAACCCCCAGCTGCTGGAGATATCACTTGCAGACTATAATTTCTTTTTCTTTTCTTTTTTTTTTTTAAATAGTTGACTGTTTATTATGTGCTAAGCTCCATATCAAGTCTCCTCACCTGATCTTGACAATGATCCTGTGAGGTAGGCATAGTTTTCTCATTTTTACAGATGAAAGAAACAAGGCAAAAAAGTCATCTCACTAGTAGGTGAAAAATATGTAAAGTAAGTTAAAATCCAGGGTTCTTTCTTTTTCTTTTCTTTTTTTTTCAATTGCATTTTAGGTTTTGGGGTACATGTGCAGATCATGCAAGATAGTTGCATAGGTACACACATGGCAGTGTGTTTTGCTGCCATCTTCCCCTTCACCCACATTTGGCATTTCTCCCCAGGCTATCCCTCCCCCCTTCCCCCCCCCCGCTGTCCCTCCCCTATTCCCCCAAGTAGACCCCAGTGTGTAGTACTCCCTTCCCTGTGTCCATGTGTTCTCTTTTATCATCACCCACCTATGAGTGAGAAAATGCGGTATTTCATTTTCTGTTCTTGTGTCAGTTTGCTGAGAATGATGTTCTCCAAATTCATCCATGTCCCTACAAAGGACACAAACTCATACTTTTTGATTGCTGCATAATATTCCATGGTGTATATGTGCCACATTTTCCCAATCCAGTCTATCGTGGATGGGCATTTGGGTTGGTTCCAGGTCTTTGCTATTGTAAACAGTGCTGCAATGAACATTCGTGTACATGTGTCCTTATAGTAGAACGATTTATAGTTTTTTGGATATATACCCAGTAATGGGATTGCTGGGTGAAATGGAATTTCTATTTCTAAGGCCTTGAGGAATTGCCACACTGTCTTCCACAATGGTTGAACTAATTTACACTCCCACCAACAGTGTAAAAGTGTTCCTATTCCTCCACATCCTCTCCAGCATCTGTTGTCTCCAGATTTTTTAATGATCGCCATTCTAACTGGTGTGAGATGGTATCTCAATGTGGTTTTGATTTGCATCTCTCTAATGACCAGTGATGATGAGCATTTTTTCATATGTTTGTTGGCCTCATGTATGTCTTCTTTCGTAAAGTATCTGTTCATATCCTTTGCCCATTTTTGAATGGGCTTGTTTTTTTCTTGTAGATCTGTTTGAGTTCTTTGTAAATTCTGGATATCAGCCCTTTGTCAGATGGGTACACTGCAAAAATTTTTTCCCATTCTGTTGGTTGCCAATTCACTCTAGTGACTGTTTCTTTTGCCGTGCAGAAGCTGTGGAGTTTCATTAGGTCCCATTTATCTATTTTGGCTTTTGTTGCCAATGCTTTTGGTGTTTTGGTCATGAAGTCCTTGCCTACTTCTATGTCCTGAATGGTTTTGCCTAGATTTTCCTCTAGGGTTTTTATGGTGCCAGGTCTTATATTTAAGTCTTTAATCCATCTGGAGTTAATTTTAGTGTAAGGTGTCAGGAAGGGGTCCAGTTTCTGCTTTCTGCATATGGTTAGCCAGTTATCCCAACACCATTTATTAAACAGGGAGTCCTTTCCCCATTGCTTGTTTTTGTCAGGTTTATCAAATATTGTATGGTTGTAGATATGCTGTGTTGCCTCCGATGCCTCTGTTCTGTTCCATTGGTCTATATCTCTGTTTTGGTACCAGTACCATGCTGTTTTGATTACTGTAGCCTTGTAGTATAGTTTGAAGTCCAGTAGTGTGATGCCTCCCGCTGTGTTCTTTTTGCTTAGAATTGACTTGGCTATGCGGGCTCTCTTTTGTTTCCATATGAAGTTCATGGTGGTTTTTTCCAGTTCTGTGAAGAAAGTCAACGGTAGCTTGATGGGGATAGCATTGAATATGTAAATTACTTTGGGCAGTATAGCCATTTTCACGATATTGATTCTTCCTAACCATAAACATGGAATGTTTCTCCATCTGTTTGTGTCCTCTCTTATTTCGTTGAGCAGTGGTTTGTAGTTTTCCTTGAAGAGATCTCTTACGTTCCTTGTAAGTTGTATTCTTAGGTATTTTATTCTTTTTGTAGCAATTGTGAATGGCAGTTTGTTCTTGATTTGACTCTCTTTCAGTCCGTTATTCGTGTATAGGAATGCTTGTGATTTTTGCACATTGATTTTGTATCCTGAGACTTTGCTGAAGTTGCTTATCAGTTTCAGGAGTTTTTGGGCTGAGGCGATAGGGTCTTCTAGGTATACTATCATGTTGGCCGACTATAATTTCTTTACCCAAGGTCACGCCCTTCCCAGTGCTCACGGATGCAGTGATTAAATAGACCACTCCTCTAGACTCAATGTGGGACAACTCTGAAGAGCCATCCAACTCTGAACTCCCAGGATTCGCTGGGACCTCAGCTGCAGCCACACTGTAGGAAAGCTTCTTGCTTTGGCCAGTCCTGCCTGCCCCAACTTCTAGATGTATTTTCTTTTCTTTTCTTTTAAAACGGAGTTTTGCTCTTGTTACCCAGGCTGGAGTGCAATGGCACGATCTTGGCTCACTGCAACCTCTACCTCCTGGGTTCAAGCAATTCTCCTGCCTCAGCCTCCTGAGTAGCTGGGATTACAGGCACGCACCACCATGCCCAGCTAATTTTTGTATTTTTAGTATAGACAGGGTTTCACCATGTTAACCAGGATGGTCTAGATCTCTTGACCTCATGATCCACCCGCCTCACCCTCCCAAAGTGCTGGGATTATAGGCGTGAGCCACCGCGCCCGGCCTCCAGGCATATTTTCTAAGAACTCTCCCAACATATTTTCTAACTCAGTTCTCCACTTAATTTTGTTGCCAGGGAATTCATCTAAGATATCCAACACCTTAAAGATTTCATAATTCTCTCCAAACAGAACTTTTCCAGGTGCAGAGATGAATTATTTTAGAGCTTCGTGGTTTGCACTACTATTCTTTTCTTCTCTATTCATCTTTGGCTTCAGTTCTCACATACCAATTTTACTTGTACTCTTTCCTACCAGATAACGATTATGAAAGTGAAGCAAAGTAGGAATGGATTTGCTTGTTGTCATCATTGTCCAAACGTTGGACCAATGTATCCTTGCCATCTACTTTTGAGTAAACTAAAATGACCCTTTGTTTTTATCTTTAGCATTTTTCAAAATATCAACTCATTCTAAAATTTTAACTTTTCTTTTTCTATCTTATACACTTCAGTAGTTTTATATCTTAAGGTGAATGATGACTTCAGGGTCCTAAGCCAGTTTATAAAGACCTCCTTTGTATAGTAAGTCCTACCTACATAGCCTAGCATCTCACTACAGAATGTAGGTAGTTGGCTCCTTTTGTTTTATTTGCAGAGTTGGAAGCCTCCACTAAACTAACAGAGTCTCATTTAGTGTCCTGTTACATTGCAATAACCTAAATAACTGTGATCAAATGAGTGTTTAAATTATGATGTATCTATTATAATGGAAAACTATATAATAGCTGAAAGTATTGAGGGTGATTTATGGGTTCTAACATGAAAAATGTTCTGTAAGTGAAGGAATAGGTTATTGCCAAATAGTATTCAGTAAACAGGTTTATGTTTTCATTTTTATAAAGTTATGTGTTTAATGTGTATAAATTTACGTATGTTTGCACATACATAGAAAATGTCAGGATTAATGAACACAAATATTCACAGTCATCATATCCGGGGAATGCAACTGTAGAAGCTGAAGCACTGAGAGATGGGGCTTAACAGAAGGTGTTTAGATCATGAGGGATCGCCCTCATGAATATGTTAATGTCATTATAAAAATGGCCTGCAGGAGTTGGTTTGCTCTCTCTTCATCTTCTGCCATATGAGGATATGATGGTCTTCCCCTCCAGATGATACAGTGTTCTAGGCACTGTCTTGGAAGCAGAGAGACCAGGCCCTAATCTGCCAGTGGCTCACTGTCAGACTTTTCACTCTCCAAAACTGTGAGAGAATAAATTTTCATTCTTTATAGATTACTCAGTCTGAGATCTTCGGCTATAGCAGCACAAAATGGACTAAGAAGACAGGAAGAAGTTTCTTTAATACAAATTATTTCATTGAATAAGAATTTGCTTTTATCTGTTTTAAAAAATATATTTAATAATATTTATCTATTTAATTTTCTTAAGTATTATTTGAATTTTAAAATAATAACTGGCCAGGCGTGGTCTCACGCCTGTAATCCTAGCACTTTGGGAGGCCAAGGTGGGCGGATCACTTGAGGTCAGGAGTTTTGAAACCAGCCTAGTCAACATGGTGAAAACCCATCTCTACTAAAAATACAAAAAAATTAGTCATGCGTGGTGGCAGATGCCGGAAATCCTAGCCACTTGGGAGGCTGACTCAAGAGAATGGCTTGAACCTGGGAGGTAGAGGTTGCAGTGAGCCGAAATTGTGCCACCGCACTCCAGCCTAGGTGACAGAGCAAGACTGTCTCAAAATAAAATAAAACGCAATAATAACCAATCACTTTTTTTTTTTTTGAGACGAGAGTCTCACTCTGACTCCAGGCTGGAGTGCAGTGGTGCAATCTCAGCTCATTGCAACCTCTGCCTCCCAGTTCAAGTGATTCTTCCTCCTCAGCCTCCAGAGTAGCTGGGACTAGGGCCTGCGCCACCATGCCCAGCTAATTTTTGTATTTTTTAGTAGAGACAGGGTTTCACCATGTTGTCAGGATGGTCTCGATCTCTTGACCTTGTTATCTGCCCGCCTCCGCCTCCCAAAGTGCTGGGATTACAGGCGTGAGCCACTGTGCCTGGCCAACCAATCATTACTTCTTTTAAATTACAAAGACAGAAAAAGAACAATTTATCAAAAAAGCATACTGTATGCCACGATGTTCTGTTTTTCTATTGCCTTGAAGTTGATTTTCCAAGACACTACCTTGAAAGAAAATTTGCATTCCACTGTCAGTCCTACAACTAGCCAATTTAGAGACAGAAATATGCGATTCATGAGGGAGCATTATTGTATTGCTTTTTAAATTAACCTAATAATTTAAAAATATTTCTAAATTAAAAAATAACATGACCAGGTGCAGTGGCTCACGTCTATAATCTCAGCAATTTGGGAGTCCAAGGCGGGTGCATCATGAGGTCGGGAGTTTGAGACCAGCCTGGCCAACATGGTGAAACACCATCTCTACTAAAAACACAGCAAAATTAACCAGGCGTGATGGCAGGCACCTGTAATCTCAGCTACTTGTGAGGCTGAGGCAGGAGAATCGCTTGAACCCAGGAGGCAGAGGTTGCAGTGAGCCAAGATCCTGCCACTGCACTCTAGCCTGGGTGACAGAGCAAGACTCTGTCTCAAATAAATACATATCACATATAAGTAAATTATGTAGCTTAATATGATGAACCTCTATGAACCTATTTGTCACAAAACCTTCAACTTGAATAATACCAGGCATTCACCTATGTGC